GGGGTAAGGCTTTAGCATCCAACAATAGCCATGCTTGTTCCTGATCCTAGTGGAGGTTTTCATTTTGTGTGTCTGTGTGTGTGTGTTAAACTTCCCATCATTTGTTGCACAATTTACCATTTACTTCTTCACTTATTTATAGTGAATACTTCCAAGTCAGTATTCATTACATCAAAATTAACCAATACTCAGGCTTATCCTCATTTATACCAAAACCCAAAGACTTCCCGGATTAAAAGGGATCCCTAGGGAATCTTAGAACCTGGAGAATTAAAGATTATTGGTGGTGGCTGATAATATCATCAGCATTTACTGCTGTGGAGTTGTGCAAGAGGATTTCAGACTCTGCTACTACATCACATTAGCTCTCAAGCAAAATGGTTTCCAGTCCAAATCCTTTGACAAGACTACAAATTATTATGATAAATTGGTATAGTGGATTAAAGTGCATGGTTGCAGAGCCAGGGGCTGAGAGTTTAAATCCCCAACGTGTCTCCAGGGGTGAGGAAGGTACCTGAGATCATCTGGAGCAGGCATGGTTGTGGCCTTGGACAATCTTCATGGTGCCAATGTATCACCAGGACAAGCTGGTAAATTACTTCTACTTTATGCCTAAAAATCCCCAGGAAGGTCACTGTAAATTGGAATTAACTTGACGGCATGAAGCTACAGTAATTGTGATAACGAAACCTTATTTCTGGGATTTCCACTGTGGTGCCCATGGGCACCACTATGATTGCAGACACCTCCTTTGGCACCTGTCAGGTTGCCTGCCCCTCTGGATTTTGTTGTTTTAATCAGAAGCCTGGTGTATATGAATCAATAAAATTTGTTAATAGTGCCATCTTTATTTCTAACATATCCGGACTCACTGTTGCATTGTTAAATTTAGAAAGGATGAGAAGTAGCAGTCCAATGCTTTGTTCTGAAGCATGCCCAGCTACGAAGACTGGGAAAGTTTGGGTGCGTTTCCTCTGCATGTGTAAACTGATTTGTCATTGCTTTGCAAGGGGCTCACTCTGTGTCATGCATGCTCCATTGAGCATCACCATTTTACCCAGTTTAAGCTGGTTATTTTCTTGTGATCTGTGGTTTAAATCAAACCAAATCTCTGCCTTTTACTAAGTTTCTAAGCCAGTTTCAGAGTCTTTCTGTGTCAATGGTACTGTTACCGTTTTCTGTAGCCATTAATTTCACAGTCTTAATGTTCAGCTATTGTCCTATTTTTGTATTTCCTTAACTTTCATCACTAATCGTTTTTCATTGCTAATTACTTGTGTTTTAGTCCCCACTAGTTTTTGTGAAAAATTAGCATATTGTGATCATGTACATGCACCACGATTGCCGTTTTATGAACAAGACTCCCATTTTGGCAGCTATTTTGTGAGAGTGCTTACAATGTCCTGAATTCCAATGGAGCTCACCAGCTTAAGGACAGTTGTTACCCTAACACATATTTAATGTATGACAGGTATGCAACCTGTCAACCTAGGATGTCAGGAAATGATGCAGTATCTTATGACGTATCATTTTGTCCCATATTGTTTTTCATTTTGTCAAATTTCTATTCTATACTTTTTTCTAAGAAACCTGAAGAGCAACCCATAAATTTCAAAGATGAATTTTCCTATACAATTCATTTTTGATCCACCCAGTCCTTATGCATTGTCCACTTTATCTCACTGTTTGTCTTTCCTCTTCAAATATGAAAGTAGCATCCCAGAAAGAACAGAGAAACATCTAGATATTTAATTTATAAATGTTGCGAACTAGTGTAGGGTTTTTTAATCAGTTTTATATGAGCCTCTAAATCTTATTTCCCAAATTGTTTCATTAAAAAGTCAATGTAACAAATTAAACATGAGCAATAAAACTATTATCCACTTATGAGAAGTAGATTCATTACCATCTGCTTCCTATCACTGAAAGGCTGATGTCTGGAACACTAACAAGAGAATTTAGTTTAGCACTCTACACGGTGTCCTATGCATAATCTATTTGAGGGCCTTTCCAAAACCATCAATGTGTTAAGAAAATAGAGAATACTCCACCCTTTAAATAGTGTCCCCAGATTTACAAGTCAAGAAGTTTTGATTTTAAACCAACATTTCAGCAATGGGAGCACTCCAGTTCACGATTACACAAATGAAGTGTCAACAAAATCCTATTTATGCAAATCAGCAACCAATGTGATTCCATACTTGTTTTAAGATGTAAAGCTATTCATCATTACTTAGGTGATTTATGCTGAGTTGACTTTTCTGATTTGGCTGTCTGAAGGGTCTCAGGTGTGCATAATATTATTTGGAATGGAACCAACAAGAAGTGTATTTTTAATATTCATACTGTAACATGTAGATAAAAAAGAGCTGTTTAAAAAATACCTTGCATAAGGATAATAATTAGCTTAATCAGGCTCTTTGTAAGTCAAATGGATGCAAAGCACAGTACAAACTTTACCCGAAGTGGTTAATGCATAGTAGTAGTAGCTAGGATCCAAAAGGGGCTAGTTGTGATGTGAAAGATTGCAGGACTATTGTTGGATACTTACCTTGATGTCATTTCAGTGCTGTCCAAGTATCAATGCAGCCACCTAACCAAGAACAATGTGGCTCAAGAGCAAACATGGAAGGATTTCCACTACTGTGCTTGATTACTGTCTTAATTTTCTAAGATCTGAATACTACAGTAGTAGTTTATGTTTTAATGTCATTCCTTCAACAGGTATTCCCTATGATGTTTACATTGCAAGAAAGTGTTGTGAATACAAATGAACTGTATTCAACAGTAGGTTTCTGCCAAAAAAACAACTACACTCTTCCAAATGTCATTTAGATAAGAAACAAAGACAAGGGGAAACAGGTTGGACTCATACTTTTGAAAACACATAATGACCAATAGTCACAAAAATGTAGGGGGTAAAACTGAAAAGGAGATGCAGTATGGTATAGTGGATAGAGTGAGACTACCGCCCAAATTTTCCTATTTTGAGACTGGTATTCCTTGTAAAGTCCTATTCTTATTCTATTTTGGTACCCAACTGTTAATTTCAGCAGCCCTGAAATTAAAAGGCGCCTTCTTCTTGGAAGGAAAGCGATGACAAATCTTGACAGCATCTTGAAAAGCAGAGACATCACCTTGCCAACAAAAGTCCAAATAGTCAAAGCTATGGTTTTTCCTGTTGTGATGTATGGAAGTGAGAGCTGGACCATAAAGAAAGCAGACCGCCGAAGAATTGATGCCTTTGAATTGTGGTGCTGGAGGAGGCTCTTGAGAATCCCCTGGACTGCAAGGAGAACAAACCTGTCAGTTCTAAAGGAAATCAACCCTGAATGCTCACTTGAAGGACAGATCCTGAAGCTGAGGCTCCAGTACTTTGGCCATCTCATGAGAAGAAAAGAGTCCTTGGAAAAAACCTTGATGTTAGGAAGGTGTGATGGCAAGAGGAGAAGGGGACGACCGAGGATGAGATGGCTGGACAGTGTCTGCGAAGCAACCAACATGAACCTGACCCAACTCCGGGAGGCAGTAGAAGACAGGAGGGCCTGGCGTGCTCTGGTCCATGGGGTCACGAAGAGTCGGACACGACTAAACGACTAAACACACACACCCAACTGTAGAACATCACATATCTCTCTGTGTTATGTGCCATCAAGTTACTTTGGACTTCAGCAACCCTAATAGGATTTTCAAGGTAAGTGAGATATTGGAGCATTTTTGCCAATGCCACATTCCCAGGTGTTTCCTTGGCTGAGGGGGTTATTTGAGCCCAGGTCTCCTAGATCTTAATCTTTCTATTCACTACACCATACTGGGTACCCAGGATCACGTAGCTAGTAATCGTAATTTTATATAAACGTTTAAACACCTGATTTGTTCCAGGAAAACAGATAGGAGATGTTGGGCAAATTAATGCAGCATTTCAAATAATGTGGCTTGCTGATGTGCTATCCACTTTAATCCTATATATGTTTACCTGAACATCCAATATTCATATGGATTTGCTTTTAAACAAATGTGTTTAAGTGACAAGTATCATGTTCTGATGACTTTTTAAAAAAATTTTTAAAATCCAGTGAATTCCAGTGAAAAGGAAAAATACGTAAACATTATTTTACAGTGAAAGAATAATAGAGATTGTAGATCTGAAGTACTAACACAAGTTACAGGGGAAAAGCAGGACTTTCAGCTGCTTCAACTCTCTCCAACATTCTTTTCTCATTCATCTTCTAGCCACACTGCCACTTGACTTTTATAGAATATGAACATTGGTCCATCTGGCTCAGTAATATCTACCAGCAGTGGTGTGTCTTGTGCAGGTTTGTCCTACCCCTACCTATGAGTTTTTCAAGCGGGCATGTCAAAGATGAAATTATGGGGTTTTTGCATATAGTACAGATTAGAGATGGCCATGATTTAAGTTGTACCCTTTGTATGAAGTTTCTTGTGTGGCACCACAGCTGCCACATGTTCCCTCTCCCCCCCCCAGGCAGCTCACAAGCCTCTGTGTGCTGCCTGGGTCATCCTCTGTCACCAGCTGCCCAGTCCGTGCAGGAGCCCAGGCTTCCCTTCCCTGCCACCTCTGGCAGCCGGCCACTCAGAAAAGGAGGTAGGACAATGATTCTCACTGCACAACTGTTGAGTGGCCAGCTGTTGGAGAAGGTAAGCCCGGGCTTCTGCCCAGACTGGGCAGCCAGTGATAAGGACAGCTCAGGCAAAGCACAGAGGCTTGTGAGAGGGTCAGACAGCTGGGGGTGGAAGAAGGAAACGTGCAACAGCTATGATGCCACACGAGTAGCTTTGTATGAAGGGCACAACTTAAGTTTTGCCCATCTCTAGAACAAATGCAAGAACTACACCCTCTCAAGTCAAAAATTGCTCTCGGTATTTCAAGATATCCTGTCTGAATACACAGTGAATACTCTTAGCTTCCCTCAGATGTGTTCTAATGAACCAGGAACACTTTTTAACTCATTATTGAAATATAAATGGATAATGGATTCAACAATCCCCAACTGACTTTATTATAAGGTAATTGTATAATCTGGTTCTTAAATCAATTGGTCTACATGAGAGTTCAGTGGCTTATAAACAGAATCCATATGTATGAAATAACATCAAGTATTAGAACATAATACAATTGAGAAGTTACCGATGGCAAGAACTTTAACAAATTACTGCTGGGGGATGGGAGGCACATTTCCAGGGAACAAGACAGGTAAAACTCAGCCCACACCAGCCAAAATTTGGCACTGAAACTACTGCTGCCTATGAAAAATTAAATAAAACAATCAAGGTGAAAGACATTAAGTTTCTGGGACTCCTACAGCAGATTTCTTTGTTCTTGGCAGCTAAGACTTACTGTAGTGATCACCATAAGAGGAAAAGCTCCATCTGTCCCAGACAGTCATCCATTTCCCCCATGAGTCACTGTACCTTTCCCCAGATAGTAACATCTTCTTAAGGTTTTCAATTAGAAGTAAAAGGCATGCAACAAGGTCAAGAGATACCAAAACAAAGAATTTCTTGGCATAACAGCACACTGTATTCTAGAAAGAATCTGAGGAGACAACTAGGTTTACTGATGGACTGGTACACTTATAAGGCAGCCTTAGTCATTCAAGAAAGAGCAATAAAAAGCTACAATACTTAAATATTTTTTTAAAACCTGTCACCAACCTATGTAAGTTATATTGCATTTATGAGTCACTTGCAATTATTTGTTCTGGGATGAGGCAGGGCTCAGTTTTAAAACTGTTATAAAATTATTCTTATGCATGTCAAATGGTTCAGAAAAGAGAAAGGTCTATGTTCGCCTGTGTGTGTGTCATCGAAGAACACACACACAAGATGTGTGTTTTTATGCTGAAAAGTGTGGCTTGATCTACTGCAGGTGTTTTTCAACCTTGTTTCACAACATTTCTTAGCAATTACACTATCAGATTTGTCTGTTTCTTCCAATCTATGTACTGGTTTATAATACAGAGTCAATACAACATTTGCTGCGAATCCTGTGCACCAGGGCACAAAATCAGATTTCACTTGCTTGCTTGGAGGCAAGATCCAGTGTCCAAGACTGAGCTGTAGCAATAACAACTCACTGCATTACATACATGTGTGTGGCAAGGAGAGGAAGGGTCCACTTCCATTACACAGGGACCAAAAGATTTTTGGCCCTTTAATCAAGAGACAAATGATACGTAACTGTATTGCTCATAGGTTTCATAGGAACATTTCATCCGGAAATTTCATACAGGAATCAGAAACAGTGGTAACAATGAAAGTACAAACTACAGCTTGAGCTATTGTAACCATACGGTGGTAATGCTTATTCAAATCATTATACAGGATACTGTGAACATTCAAAGTGTGGCATATAAATACTCAGTATTTATTCCCACTTATTTCTTATAGGCATCTTGTTTCTTATAGGCATTTCTTAATTCTCTGAGCTTTTCAGAAAAGTGAGCAACAGGGAGCTCACATATATATTACCTCTTAGAATGCTGTCTTTAACCTCCTTCAGGATAGAACTGGATATGGCCTATCTAGATATAACCAAAGAAAATACTCTGACTGATGGTTTTTCATTTGTGTGGGACAGGGGTAGGCATTTGTGTTGGAAAGTAGCAATCAAGAGCAAAAGAGCAACAGGAAAAAATCCTATCTCCTCTGGTTATTTTTCTGGTCAAAATTGCTCCCTGCTAACAAAACAAAGACAAGGAGTAAAAGCAAATTCCATCTCATGTGGTTCTGCAGAAAATGTGATGAACATTCTTCCAAAGTCACATTGAAGCTGTACATAGGATTTATATAATCAGAACACCTCAGCCATGAACCTCTATTTTTCTAACAAAGGTAGGACAGGTCGTATGGTCTCAATGATGTCTTATGGATATTAAACCATAACAGTGTCAACACAACCCAAACCGTACTGAAGTATTGAATAAAAAAAATAAAAAAAATTCTTATGTAGACATCATTTTCTAGAAAATTACCAGTGTTTTGTACGCTGAACAACTTAGCATTGAAGTGACATAGTGAGATCTGAAACAGATAACACAAAATTTAGTTGAACTGTATCCAGCATCGACTTAATTTTTTCTGATTGAAAGTTCACATGACTGGCTGTTTAACAGATTTTTCCATCCTGTCTCTTCAGAGTGAAAAACAAATTATCAAAATATTAATGAAAAATCTTATCTCACTGTTAGATGTAGGTTTAACATAAAACATGTCTTCTCAACAAGAGTGGCAGACTTTTTCCACAATAAATAAATTAAGAGTTTTAGAAGTTGGTCATGCTTGCCTACAGATATTACAAGTTTTAATTCTATCAGTTTGAACCTCACCCTAAAACTGACTTCCCTATCATTAAATTATGACTCACTGGAAGAATATATTACAGATTTCATGTATGCGGATTCACTTTTTTTAGAGTGCAAAGATGAATATGATGCTTAGAGAGGTGCCAATATTGTATACATTCATAAAAACATTTAAAATTCATGTATGTAGCCACTGATACAAAATGTACAAACAAAATTAGTCCCATAACAGTGCTTTTAGATAGTTCTCTGTTAGAAGTGGGGTAAGTCAGGTTTAATTGTTATTTGAACAATTTATGTGCTTGAATAAGACTGACATAGAGAATTTTCCTTGTTTGCCTAACAGACCAGGGATTATCCAAATAACATTTGGTTCATAGTCTCTTACTGTCAAAACAATGTTAAGAAAATAAATATACAGATATTGAGCAATGTGTTTTGGTGCTCTGAATTCCCATTCTAGCTTGGCTCCTGCAAAATGGTATCATCACAGCTTTTCCTTCATTGCTTCTCAAGTCATGTTCTCTTTAGAGGCGTAATACCAGAGGCAGTGGATGACTAAAGGTTATTGCATGACTTCAGTTTGAGGCCATTTTGTTTACCTCAGAATTTACCTCAGAATTTGTCTTCTTGAAAGAACGACTGTTCTAGACAGCTATTTTCAATTCATGCCCCAGTAAATATTAACTAATCTTAAGTTCTAACATTTACTCTCATTATTCTGCTAACCTTGTCTTTGTGACTCTCTTGTTAATTATTTCCTTTTTATATTAAGTGGGTTTTAAATGATTAATTCACTTAAATTCACTTAAATAACTGGCTGGCCTACTTCTTACTGGGTTTGCTTAAAATAATGTCAATACGTACGAAATCTCAGACTCCAAAGTAATCCTGTCTTCTCCATCAGCTGAAATTGATTCAGGTATATACAAATGATTTGGCTGTTATTCCATATTCAATTTGGCTTGGCAAAAGAAATTCTTAAAGGGTGATCAATTTTTGAAAAAAAACCTATTCATATAGCTATTAGAAAGTAAACATTTTAATGTTTTCAAATTTCTTCAGCACTGAAGAAATGAGCTCTTGGAATTGTGGGAAGAAACATGATGAACTTTTAAAAAACTAATTTGATGGTAAAATCAGAAAATCCCCCATAGTATGCTGTTTTTTTAATGTAGCATATTACATTGTACCATATAAATATACAGCAGTGTGACCAGATATTCAACTATACTGGAATTTGTCTGTTACATTATATTGCTGTGTAAGACACTACTATCAAATAAGGAGTCAAAACACTTTTGCAGATTCTTACCTTGGACTAGAAACTGACCTTTAAAAATATAGTACCCTTTTAATATACAGTTGTGTAATCTAATTGAACCCACAGTGTAACCCCTTTTGTCACTTGTAACTCAACTAACCAAGCATGTTTGGCAAAGTGGTTATAACAACTCACACCAAAAATGCAGTACAACAGTCTTTTACAGTCTCTCCGTTCTTAAATTTTAGTCCCGTAACAGGTCCTTCTAGGGAAGTAATGTACTACTGGAAATTTGCAGATCTGGGAATTTGAAACAAAGGAGAGACTCATTTCTGTGTGAAGGTGTCACCATCAAGGTAGAAAAGGTTGGTGAGTTATCGATTTGCTTTATATTTGGACGCATCCCTGGGTTCACTGCTAGGGTTGCTCCAGTCATCAGCTTCTGGGGTGGTCTTGTAATGTCGCCAAGCTGACTTATTGAAAACTGGCAGTCTTTCAAATGATTCACTGGAAAGTGCCTAAAGAAAGAAAAAGTTAGAAGATCACATTTCAAAGCCCCAGCTCCATAACCGCAAGCATACTTCTAGAGTCTGACTGCTCTACTCAACTGAAGAAATGGTATGCAGTATATGCTCCATTACCCTCATCACACTTTCTTAAAATCTCAGGTTATTTGCAGGTATGTCTTCCTGCTGTGTATGCGAGTATTTTGTTTGATACAGTATTCCTATGACTACCTGGTTTGGACGGCATCAGTCCAGTTCAGCTTATACAAGCCCACAAAAAAAGACTTACAAAAAAGACAGTTTGTTTCAGGTACACATTAATCTGCTGTCTATTTGTTGGGAATATTGCTCTTGGTATTTCCATCCAAAAATATTTTTCTACCTTCTATTACTAGTTATTGGAAAGATTACAGAGGAAAGTCTTAATTAGTTTTTTAAGATGATCTTTGTCCCTCAAAGGTGTTACATACCCATTCTCAAAGAATGTGAAAATACCATCTTGGATTACAACAGATTACACCTTTGCCTTACAAAGAATATTAAATCATAAATAATATGAGTTATATGAAGCTAAACCCTTATTTATGAATTATTATACACATGTACAGCAGTACAATGGATGAAATCCAATTGCATAACATACTCCACATAAGGATGTCAGTAAAATCATCCCAATTTGGATTTGTGTGTGTGTGTGTGTGTGTGTGTGTGTGAGAGAGAGAGAGAGAGTGTGTGTGTGTGTGTGTGTGTGTGTGTGTGTGAGAGAGAGAGATTTTTAATTTCCAAAAAGCTGTGATGGCTGATTATTTCACTAGTCTTAAATAATATAAATTGCACTGGTGGATTTCAGCCAATATTTGAACCAGTGCCAAACCTTCAGTAAATTTTTAGTCTTTTCCAGTCATGCAGTAAAGTAAAAACAGCTTCACTGACTGTGTTCTTCATAAACGACTCAAGATATTACCTTCAAATAAATTACAGCATCAGTGCCCACACCTTCCATTGAGTACAGTTTGAGATCACCTTGAAAGTATCTGGCATAAAGACGAGAGATTGGCAGGCCATATCCATATCCAGCCTAAAGAAAAAATCAGTACATCAAAGCAAATACTCCAGTTCCAAGAGAAGTCAAGGGTTACTGCATATTGGCCAGAGTCCCATTGAGATTTTATTCTAAATGAAATCCTGTAAGTCTTCTGGGGGTTGACTGCTGATTTTTCTTACCGCCATGCATTATAAGTTTTTTTTTTAATTGCACTGATGTTGTGGAGTATTTTCTGATCCCAATGAGAATTCCAAAGCATTGTGAGTGTAAGAACAAAGTGTATGCAAAGGAATGTTTCTGTGTTTGGGGGATCAAATGTGTTCTACTCAAACATCAAGACCAGAAATTACAAGGGGTTCAAAATAAAATAAAACAAAATCTGGCAAAATCAAATCAAATCTCTGTATCTTGCATTATAGGTTTTTATCCTGATCAGATGAACTCCAGTGTGCCTACTTTACATGAAATAAAATTCTGCAAACTGAGCCAAGTCTGCTGACAATCCACAGCACATCACTTTTCCTTAGCTGCTTCATGGCTTGCTGTCAAATAAATAGCACGGGGTGTTTTTCTGTCACAATACACTAGTTAGGACAAATAAATGTCTCAATGGGAAATACCAATGTATTTTCTGGGACATTTTGGTCCCACCATTTTTTTTTCTATAGGAGAAAAATGTAAGTAACAATCTGGAGGTAGATGAAATTTGGGGACACAGAGGTAAATCTAATTGTTAATCCTAACCAGAGAAAATCCATTGAATCAATGGATTTCTCATATGTGTTGATTTAACAAGTGCCATTTGTTTATTCAAGAGGTCTACTCTAGTTGGCACTAATAAACAGATTTAGATCATTATTTGTAACTTTGTAGGTGACAATGTCTAAAAATGCCTACATTGTGGTTATAGGCCTGTTATAGACTGTTCAGTAACATGGCTTTTGGGGAATTAGGTGCCCTATACTTGGTGTATAAGAGTGAATAATGTTTGGAAGGCAATGAACATTTTTACAGACGTGCAACTAAAATACTGGAAATGCTTTTTGGAAGTACCAATTTTTTTTCCTTTCAAACTTTAGAGCCTGTCAACATTAAGAGTTTCAGGCCGCAAACAAATTATTTTGAACGTGGGAGAGACAGAGAAAAACCACAATTGCACAAAATCATTTTTGAGAACACGCACAACTGAACAGCAAATCTGACTGCGGAGACTTCAGAAGGATGTGGATTTTGTTGGATGCAGTTACATTAGCAGAACAGACAGTGATCCACAAGCCACCCAAACAAGCTGATAGTCTTTCAGGACTCTTCATATTGGCAGTTAGTGCTGCAATATCCCAGTCACAACTCAGTGATGCTGAGCTTCTGATGGTAGTTTATTACCTGAGATTGTTATTCACAGCAGTCTATAAACACAGGAGATGTGAAAAAAGCTAGAGTTGGAACTGCATCCCTCAGTTAGGCTACTCTGCTAGGTCAAATTATTGTTGACAGCATGGAGCAATGGAAGAAAGAAAAAAGTTGTAGAGAAAATAAGACTTGCAATTTTGTCAACAGAAAAGAATTACAAGGATATATAGAATCCTAACTATGTTTTCAAGTATGCTTGATAAGACTTCCTGGCTTTCAAATAAACAACAATATCTAGTCACAAAAGAACCAAAACCATTATATTCAAATGACTGTTTCCTTACAAAGAACTAGGACCTGGCCACTGCATAACTTAAGAATGTGTGATATATTCCTACTGCATATATGAACTCACCTAAACTATACACCCTTAGCAGAGGACAACTCCCTTTATGAGTCTGCCTGAGTGTTAAAATCATATGGGGAGACCTTAGACTTGGTCCCACCACAAGTGCGTTTTTTGGGGGAAATGGGAGGGGGCCTTCTCGTATTGCATACTTGGAACTCCCTCCCACAGGAAACTAGGCTGGTCCCATCATTGCTGTCCTTGTGCAGGCGGGTGAAGACCTTTCTCTTCAAGCAGGCTTTTCCTTAGTGACTGGCAGTTTTAAAACAGGATGGCTTGTATTTATGTGGCTTTTAAATCAGTTTTAGTAGTGCTTCTACCTAACATTTGTAATATAATATTTATTTAATTCTTTTAAAATATCTGAATAATTTACTATTCTTAGTTTTTGATATTATGTTTTTAATGATGTAAGCTGCCTTGGATCTTTTTTTAGGAGAAAGGTGGAGTAAAAATATTCGACATGAATAAATAAATCTTCCTAATATCATTCTGGCTGTAGCCAGAACTAATTAATAAATCTTACTTTGAAATAACTCTTGCCTATCCAGGAGTAACATATGAAATTGGCAGGCATCAGCCATCTAACTTGGCTCTGTTTTGCCTTTCACGGTACAAAATAAAATACTGTATCTAACTGATACAGGTGGCAATCCTGTATCACTCACCTTGGAGTGAGTTAAATCAATAGAGCTTACATCTGAGGAGACGTATATAGCATTTAACACTGACAGAAACTTTATGCATTGCGAAATCTTGATCTGTGAGGATTGCTAATCTAACATTTTGCATGCTTCCCACATTACATTTAAAATGTTCTTAATTAACATTTAGTTCGTTTTTATCCTTCCTGTATAAAAGGTTCTTCTTCCTCCCATTTTATTCCTTAACAATTCTGTTTAGATATGTGAGACTGAAAGGCTGACTGGCACAAGATTACCCATGTAACCTTCAGGGCTGATTGGGGATCTGCATCTGGGTCTAAAGTCAACATTTGAACCACTATACTACACAGTACACCTCTCCACAGTTTTCCATTTTCTCAGTAACTTTTCCAAGCCCAGCATTTCATACCTATTCTCTAACATCAAGATCCTTCGTAGGAAAAACAAGAAACGCTACGGGAGCAGAATGGGAAAATGATGATGTTCCTCTAAACTTTCACTTACTGTATTATCTATTGTCATGTGTTCTGTTGCATTTTATTGTGTACCACCACGAGTGTCTTTTGCATGAAAAAGGAAGGGAAAAAGTTTTTAATCAATCATAGAATTGCAGAATCACGGAGTTGGAAGAGACCACAGGGGCCATCGAGTCCAACCCCCTGCCATGCAGGAATTCCATCAATGCACTCCCGACAGATGGCCATCCAACCTCTGCTTAAAAACCTCCAAAGAAGGAGACTCCACCACACTCCGAAGCAGCCTATTCCACTGCCGACCAGCTCTGACTGTCAGAAAGTTCTTCCTGAGATTCAGGTGGAATCTCTTTTCCTGTAGTTTGAAACCATTGCTCCTTATCCTAGGGTCTGGAGCCATGGAAAACAAACCTGTCCCTTCCTTGACATGACATCCCTTCAAATATTTAAGCATCGCTATCATGTTCCCTCTTAACCTTCTTTTGTAAGGCTAAACATTCCCAGCTCCCTAAGCCGCACAGACATGGGACATGGCTTCTAGACCTTTGGCGATTTTGGTCACCCTCCTCTGGACACGTTCCAGTTTGTCAACATCCTTCTTGAATTGAGGTGCCCAGAACTGGACACAATACTCCAGGTGAGGTCTGACCAAAACAGAATAGAGTGGTACAATCACTCCCCTTAACCTAGACACTATACTCCTATTGATCCAAGCAAGAACTGCATTGGCTTTCTTGGCAGCCACACCACACTGCTGACTCATGCTCAGTTTGTGGTCTACCAAGACTCCTAGATCCCTTTCACAGGTACTGTTGTCTAGCCAGGTGTCTTCCACCCATATCTGTGCAGTTCATTTTTTCTGTCTAGGTGGTCTAGGTGTAGAACCTTACGTTTCTCCCTGTTGAAATTCATTTTGTTGGTTTTGGCCCACGACTCTGTCAAGGTCATTTTGAATTTTAATCCTATCTTCCGGGGAATTAGCAACCCCTCCCAATTTGGTATCATCTGCAAATTTAATCAGTGTACTCTCTATTCCTTCATCCAAGTCACTGATAAAGATGTTGAACTGCACAGGCCCTAGAACAGAATCCTGAGGCACCCCACTAATTACCTCTCTCCAGGATGAAGAGAAGCCATTGGTGAGCACCCTTTGGGTTAGGTCAGTCATCCAATTACAAATCCACCAAACAGTAGCACTGACTAGCCCACATCAAGTTAGTAACAAAAAATATAAAACACATAGCTATATGTTGCACCATCTCCTTCATATATTGATAATGGGAACATTGGTGAAATCAGGGTCACGTCTGGAAGACATTATCTAAGTAGCCCTTCTGAAGAAATGGTACAGGTGAGAGAGAAAGAGAGAGATATACGTAATGAAAAACTTATCTGAGCAGGCAAGTATTAAATAGGTAAGCTAAAGTCCAGCACAGATTCCTGCTTTCCTAATTATTATTAATAATTGGTCTTTGTATCAAGACTAGGACTCAAAGTGGTTCACAACATGATTTAAAACAACAACAGAAACAGCTGAAGAGACAGCTAGGGATTATAATATGTTCCATGTTCCTCATGGAAGCATACTAGAGGTTTTAAACCCTCCTGATCCCACGGATATCCCAGCCTCAGTTTACAATTATAGTGTAAATTTTCTTCTGCATCACTAAATGGGTTGCATTTATAACCAGAATGTGAATCCATTGATTAAAGTGAATCTTTGAACCATGACAGGAGGACAATCTTGGTCAGTCCTAATGCAGATGCAATTTTACATAAAGGTTTTGACATCCAGTCTCCACAAGCAATACTCAATCAATGAATGCTGTCTACATGCAAGAGATGGCAATATAGACGTAATCATAACTTGAAGGCAATCCAAATAATTATTTAACATTTCATAAAAATGCCTAATAGATGCCGTGTTACTGTAACTAAATAAGCAGAACACATTACAATTATTGAAACCACAGGAATGCTTCCTGTTCAGAAAAGATGGCTCATTATGTCTTGTGTTATTCTACTCACTGATTCTAATGATCAAATTTTTCTCTTAACATATATATGAGAAACAAAACAAATACAAAACACATTCTTCTTTAACGTTTATTAATGGCTTTTAAAAAGCACTAATAAAAGCCAATTAGAAGTCCCAGCAGCTAAATTAACTAAGTTATTTTTAGTTCCTGTTAGATTCAGTATGGCTGCTACCACCTTGGAGAAATAAACCCACATATACTGGATAGTAATACCCTAAATGCAAAAGCTCCCAAACTTGGGTTGCCAGTTTTGCTGGACTTTTAAGACTCAGAAGCTCTAGTCAGTCTGACCAATGGTCAGAGAACTCTGCAGGCTTCTCTAGTTCAGGTCCAGCAGTCTGTTCCCACAGCAAACCGCAAGGTACCCCAACATGAAACAACAGCACTCTTCTGCTTGTGTTCCCTAGCAATTAGCATAGTGAGACACAGTATTTCTAATATAGGAAGTATTCAACTAAGTGCAGTGGTGCCTTGCATAACGAGCGCACCGTTTAACAATGAATTCGCATAGCGATCCGTTTTTTGGGATCGCTAATGCGATCGCATACCGATGCTTTCTATGGCCAAAAATCGCTTTGCGACGATCGGTAAGCGTTTCACATACCGATTTCCGCATAGCGATTTTTTTAAAACAGCTGATCGGCGGTTCCAAAATGGCCACTGGACACCCAAAATGGCCGCGCGCAGCATTTTCACGCCCTGCCCTCGCTTACTGAGGGCGCAAAAATGGCAGCCGGATGGGGAAACATCGCAGAACGGTGAGTTTAGCGATGTTTCCCCATAGCGACGGTTAATCCGGAACGGATTAACCTCGCTATGCGGGGCACCACTGTAATATTGGAAGTAGCCATTAACAGATTATTGTCCAGAAGTCTATACAGTACTGTACACTTTTAATTAAACTTGTTCAAGGTTTGTTGGGAAACATTTTAGCCTGAAGAACAGACTTACCAAAGGTACAGCTCTCGAAGGCTCCAAACTAGGCCTTGGGGCAGTCGAATACATGTAGTTAAACAGGCGATCTATTTTTCTGAGAGGCACTCCACCACCTTTATCACTAATCTACAGAATAAAATCAAAGTTTCATGTAAACAAAAGAGAAAAGAATCCTAGGTGAACTCAAAATCAACTACTGTATTCCTAAACTGAAATTATTAGATATCCCCCATTAACTATACCTATATCAAGCATCCATTAAATGAGCATTATCCTGATTGTAGTGTGCTGTAGACAGGCAGCAGGAATGAATGAGACATCCCAGTCAATGACCACATAACATGATGTAGAAGATACTCCACACTTTTAATCAGATTTTTTTTTCCAGGGACTTTCCCCTCCAAGATAAAACCTTCTTAACCCACCATCTCTGGTGTCTGATACTTTCTATATATAGTTATTATAAGTTTTTCCTTTTTAAAAGGATATTCCAGGAAACTGACAAACATATCTAGATTAGCATGAAATGGTCATGCTAATACCGTGTTTCCCCAAAAATAAGACAGGGTCTTATATTAATTTTTCTCCAAGAAATGTATTAATTATTTTCAGGGAATGTTTTATTTTTTATGTACAACACCAGACATTTATTCAAATACAGCCATGTCATCTTCTTCCGATTGCTGCACAATGGTGGAGAGCGGGGTTTTACTTAACTGGCTTATTTTGGGGGTAGGCCTTATATTATGAGCATCCTGAAAAATCATAATAGGGCTTATTTTCAGGTTTGGTCTTATTTTCGAGGAAACAGGGTAAATCTCTCTAGACGTCTACAAGAATAGAAGGAGAATAAAATATACAGTATGTCTTTCTTTACCACCATCCTTGTGAGTAGGTCCTGGGGCTCTGAATGTGGCGGTAATATTATAATTTGCTACTGGGGGAATTAGGTGAAAAACCAGAAAGCACCTTCAGTAGTTCCACTTTAATCATGTCAGCTTCATTATCAATTTCTTTAATGTATCAAATTCTAAGATTCAGCCATCTCTATTCATTTTGAAGTGATCTTATATGAACTTGTAGATCCAGAGTGTGAGTCACTAAAATGTTTATATGCTTCTGATTTTGCATCCCAAGTACTACTGCTTGATTAACATCTATAAATGTAATTTTTCAGAAAGCCCATTTACTTTCACTGTTAATGGAGGAACAGCTTCTACCCAATCCTGACAGAACTGTTTACTTTTCTCCTTTATTTCAAGCACAGAGTTTGTAGCAGATGAATAGTTTTGTTGCTTTCTGCCCATCATGGGGCCATTGGGAATGCTCAGTGGGCCTCTTTTTGGCTTGGAAATTTCAGGCAAAATTAACAGTCTAACTGGCAGTCTTTCTTATGCAAGAGCTCCTGGTTCACAGCAGACACTGGGGCCTGCTCTGCTTCCTCTTTGTTGACTCTTATCTTGCTTTGAACATTAATTTTCTGGTGGCAATAGAATAATTTCAGGCAATTATCTTGCAGTGTCAGCATAACACCCACAGTCTCTTAACTCCTCTATCCTTCTGCAAACTCAGTGTCTAACAAGCAAAACCCAAAACCATATGTGCACAGAAGGCCTGGTTCAAATGACAGGACAAGGTGCAGAATCCCCCACCAGATATGAGCAGCAGCCTAGTACACTTTGCCAAATAGCTCTTCCTTGCTGTTGAACTCTGGAATCAGCAACACGAAGCTCTGGTTGCATGGCATGTCGTTGAACTTGGACATAGCTGCTCCTCTGATTTATTCCTCCCCCAAAAGGAACCTGGATTCCTTTCCTGGTGGGAGAAACAAATTAGAGACAGCTGTGCCCGTGTTCAGGAAGCATGGCAAACAATTCACAGAGCAAAGCTCCATGGGCAGCATTGCCCTTTCTCCTACAAGCAAGCAGAGTCACATAGCAGGTATCAACATGCTGCTTACAATCAATAAATCTGAATTCTTGAGGATTCTTGGCTTATCCTGTCATCAGAACCAACCCACAAAATGTTCTTATCTTATTTTACATATAAAGCCATTTCTAAAGCTTACTACTAGAAACTCAAAATATTATTTATATGTTATTTACCTTTATAGAAAGATCTTCTTTACCCAAAGTGACTAATGTTTTAATTGATGGATAGCCTCCAGATTTACCTTCATGTAATTCCACTGTAGCTCGCATTGAGTTCTTAAAATAATAATAAAAAACACATTTTAATATTTCTAAGAGTTTTAACTTTTAGCATTAACAACAGTATTAGGAAATTTATGAAAACATAACCATGACTTTGTATTCGTTTAATATCACTTTATGAAGTCACCTAAAATATATCCAAAGTATTGTTTTACATGAATTGCATATGTAGGTGAACTGGAGAAATGGTTTTGTACTTAAGATATTCATGGGCAAAAGACTGCCAACGAATGCAGAAAGCTTCTGATGAGGATAGGCTTTTTGGATCAGTGGAATTTTAATTGCTGGTCCATACAATCAGACATTTTTCAGCATTGCACCAGACAACCTATGCCAGACAACAAAGTGCCCACAAAGCTTTACAATGGTCTCATAACGACTTCTTGATCTGTTTTTTTTTTTAAATTTAAGCTCAGTGGAGAAATTTAAGTAGTAACTATTTCTGTGAAATATTTCTACGAAATGACAGCAATTGAAACATGGTGTTATCCAGTATCTGTAAGTGATCACAAACCATTTTGCCCAATTGTAGGCTAAAATAAACACACATTTTAGCAAGGATGGAGGGATTAGCTAATACAGAAATAATAAAGAAAAACCTTTGTTATAAACACATTACTAGGTTTTCAGAATTGTCATGTAATAATCCACTAATTAGATTCAACTTTTAATTAGAAGGAACTTGGCTGGATAGTTCAGTAGTTAGGTATCTGGTTGAAGAACCAGAGACTGGGAGTTCAATTCCCCACTGTGCATCCTAGAAGAGCTACCCTGTGTGGCCTTGAGCAGGCTACACAGTCCCAGGATGTCCCCAGAAGAAGGGAATAGTAAACCACTTGAGTTCTCTTTACCTAGAAAACTCTGAAAAGGGTTGTTATAAGTCAGAACTGACTTGACAGCACACAATTATCATTATTTAATCAACTTGCAATCAAAGATTTACACAAATCCGCTGTCACTAACATAACTTTTTTTTGTACAGCTGCTTACAATAGCTCTTCAAAACATCATTTTGATGTCAAAAGGAGAATGGACCCATCAGCCACTTAATTTATTAGAGGTTTTGCCAAACAGATATGGTAACTAAGAAAACTGCACACACTGTGGGAGAATGAAAGGAAGAATGCCATGTTCCTCAAGGATCAGAGGCAAACCTTCACAGGAACATGAAAACACAGATCTTGACGAGTAATCTTGATCACATTTTCCCCCCAATACACTCAGTGAGAAGCAAAATAAAGTTAATCTACCTACCTCTATATTATTCTACCTACCTTGAATAATTCAAAAAGCATATGAAATAGATGTGAGGGCACATAAACTACTTGAATAGGTTTGCCCGGTGCTTTAGCTAGAAAAAAAGGAAACGTTTAGTTAACTGAAAATTCATTAGCCCATAGTTTCACTCACTTCATATATTGGAAACCTGCAAAAAAAAACCAAAAAAAACAAAAACCCTACAACATACATTATTATGTTTTTCATCTCCTTTCCTTCTTTACATGTAATGGACAGAAAGCTTACGTAAAAGAATTATGGAACCACACCTACAGTACATCAGATCATTTACAAACCACATCATCTTGGATATACCCACCTCTTTGGAAGTACCTTATTTTTCGCTCCATAAGGCGCACCTTTCCACAAGACATACCAAATTTTTAGGAGAAGAAAACAGGAAAAAAATAATTTGTTTTCTTCTCCTAAAAATTGGTGAGCCTTATGGAGAGGTCCATCTTATGGAACACATCCTAGGACCCTTTGGAGGCTCGCCCTGTCCCCCCGGGGGTCAGAGGGGGCGAAATCGCCAGCTTCTGGGACTTGAGGCTTGGGAAGCTTCAGAAGAGTCCCAGAAGCTGGAGATTCCCCCCCCCCGGCCCAGCGGGGGGGGGCAGGGTGAGCCTCCAAAGGGTCCTAGGGTGTGTTCTAGGATGCTTTAGAGACTCACCCTGCCCCCCTCGGGGATCAGAGGGGGCAAAATCGCCACCTTCTGGGACTCTTCAGAGGCTTCCCAAGCCTCAAAAGACTCCCAGAAACTGGTGATTTTGCCGACGCTGGATCCGTGCTGGGGTGCGGGGAGAATGGCAAGGGTCCTGGAAGGCTCATCCGGACCCTTGCGACGCTCCCTCCACGGGGCCAGCGGGGACAAAATTGCTGCCTTAGCTCCATAAGACGCATGGACTTTCCCACCCACATTTTTTTGGGGGGGGAAGTGCGTCTTATGGAGCAAAAAATACGGTAACTATATACTCCTTTGTCTTATCTATGTTATCAGGTATCATACTCAATAAAAACAGTTCTGGGATTAATGGCACCTTACAAAACAATATTTGTTGCAACACCACATGTACTCTTTTCCAATACTGTTTCACTACTTTACATGACCACCACATATGATAATAACTTCCCACATGTGCTTCACATTTCCAACACACATTTGATACACCTGTATGCATCTTCGACAATTTTTCTGGAGTCATGTGCCACCTGTAAAACATCTTATATATATTCTCCTTAAAATTATCCGATCTTGTAAGCTTTATATTATTTTGCCATATTTTCAACCATTGATTAATGTCAATATTATGCCCTATGTTTTGTGCCCACTTAATTATACATTATTTAACCATTTCATCTTGCATTTTGATTTCTAACAGATAGTTATACATTTTCTTAACTATTTTATCTTTTGAACCTAATAAAAGCTTTTTAATCGTCGCAATCCTTCCCAACA